CCGTGCCCATCTTTTTGACTTAACGGTACTTCCTCCGTAAACGCATGCGTCTGAAGTCTGGTCACTGCGTAAACAAAATGGGAAATCATTCATTGTCATTGAACGCGTAGTCGAAAGAACATGTTAGGAGTACCTCGTGTCACGCAAGTAAGGGAAGGGATCCGATGCCCGTATGTGCGTCAACGACCAAAAATCAAAGATGCCGTTCTATACGCCAAACAGTCAAAGTAAGGGGGCCGGACACGTGAGGCGTATGGATGACAACCGATGGACAGTAGCCGTTAGTGAGTGGATTCCTTGGGATGTTAAACACACTACAGAAAGACCACTGATCCAATGGTTAGAGCTCTTAACGAAAACCCTTGAAAAAAGGTTTGGTACTCCCTACAGCGTGCGGAACCCACTGGGCTTACTCTTGCACGCGACAGCGAAAAATCGAAGATTTATTGGGGCCCGTTCGAGTCACTCGATGATCAACAAGACTACAGATGACAGATGATAGACAGATGCACAGTAGCGACCGTCACTTTTGCAATTTGAGACCTGAAGCAATAAGCTACTATTATTTAAGCTCTACTTCAATGAATGTAAACTCTAAGTTTCGGAAGTCTCCAAAACCTGTTCTTCCTGTTGCACTCCGTACTTTGAGATTGCTGAAAATTGCTGGGAAATTGGACACGCGTAATAGCATCACTGGGGCTAAGATCAATCATATTCTCACAAGGAGTTTATTATGCTTCCTTGACGTTGTGATTTTTAGCGCTGTTACCGCTATTAACTGAGAGACGGGCGAAACGAAGGACTGGCATGGTGTAGTAGTGAACGCGTTACTCCCTGGAAGGAACAATGGCGCGTTCGTTCCCCACCACAGACACCTGAGGTCCGGAGTTTTGCAAATATCTCGGTGCCATTGTTGTTGTTTTTCGCATAATCCCCTGCCCCAAAAATTGTAGTAGAGGACAAATAAAAGTTGACATTGTGATGTCAGCAGAACAATTTTCCGCTTTAAATTTGTGACGAAGTTTGAAGTCTTTTGCATAATAATTCAATAGAACGAAATGTAAAATTTTCCTCCAACGCTCCGAGCCTGTTGAATATAATCACAGGCATACGGTAGAAGCTGGAGACAAGGAGTTCACCCTGCCGTTCATTGAACAAAACATGTAACAAAGAACATGTGCACTTGGGATAGGAATCATAAAGTTTTCGAGAATTCATTCAAGCCTGTAACCCGTGATCTTCTGATCCCTCTGAGCTTCGATCTCGACTCCTCCTCTTGGGCAACTGCCATCGTCATAGCCAATGGAAATTGACAGGACAGAAACCTCGATTTTCTTTCCTTCACGTATCTTAACCTAGTAGTTTTACCTCAGCTAATATGATGATCCTAACAAAAAAAAACCCTCACCGTGACCATGTAATTACGAAAATCAAACTGATCCTTAAGATCGGATCCAGTGCCTAACTTGTAATGGACAGTTTGTTTTTCACTTGTGGCCAGCAGATCTACTCCACATCCTGGTGGCTAGAACGAGATCAATTTTCTTGTCGGCTTTCTCTCAACCGTAACACTACTCCTTACCCGTCCGTCACACAGCGCCCCACCGTAGCCACCCGGACATACACATATTAAGCAATTTCGTAGATGGATAAATCCATTATTTGCACACTGGGCGAATGTGGACTCGTTGCACTTTGCTAAAGAACTAGACTGTCGGTGTATTATGGTGCTATAACATAAAATGGTAACATGTCTGACCATTACATCCATAACGTTCGCTGATGATGGATAAATCGGTCAAGGAAATGGTTTCAGATCCCATTGTTTTTTGACATGAGGATCTTTGATAATTATTGTTGGCTGTTGGTTAATAAAATAACTATAAAACAGGGAAAAATTTGCAAACTTGACTAAGAGTCTCAGCGTGTAGCGCTTACCTTAACTTATCGTAGTGCATGACGTTACAGAAATCGTACATGAATCCGTACGTATCGACATATCTCCACATCACTTTTGCGAACTCAAAAACATGGGGTTTTTCAAGAAAGATGAGTGTGTTAAAAAAATTAAATCAGTAGCGTTCTGCTATTAACCCATACCAAGATTTTGTATGGCTACCCTTATGAAATGATCCCGATCATATCGAGACATTGTGTGGATAAGTCCAAGGACGTGGTCAATTTCATGGACAGCTGTTCCTTTTTGAAGAATCTCTCAGTAAATAAATGTGTCACAAAAAAGAAAACGTTAACGAAATATGTTATTATCCAAAGTTAATAGTTCGAATCCGCCACACCGTATCGCATTCTACTCCAAGGTAGGGAAACTGGTCTCTGCCGACTCGACCATTGCTCGACCTACACCCATCTTCCTTAACAACGACCATCTTGTCCACAGCTGCAAATAGTTGATGCAGAAAACCATTTATTTTATTCGTTGCTGGACACATAGAGCGAACCGCCTTTGGCTTTTATGAAATCGATACAGGATGCATCCCTCCACAACTTCACGCCCATCTTAAAGATTTTTTGCACGACAGGGAGTGAAACAATTTAAAACTACACATATTAATTAAATCTTGCAGGTCAATTTTTGGAAATTTATAGACATCCAACGGAATAGGCGGATTCGGTGAATCTAGGAGAGAGAACGTCAGTTATTAATTTAGGAATACTGTTTTAACAATGCCGTGACCACTCATCGTAAAACTAGCAACTTTGCCCTCATCGGTCTTCTGTCAGTTTTTATTTCCCCTCCTCATTTCGCTTGCTAGAAGTTTCATTAATTGTTTACACCAATGATTTCCACTGTAATTATCAATAATGTTACAGTAGTACATTGTTTTTTGTGATACAAAAATCTTTTCACAACGAACTCCAACACAAATAATAGCAACTACATAAAATTTTACGAAGAAATTCCGTCAAACTAAGATGTTTTGTTACTATGAGGTGAGTGGGAGAGAGTTTGTCACCAGCTAAAGAACTGAAAGTATTCCGAAATTAACCTGTTGAATTGAATGTATCGAAAACGGTGCCCTGCCACGTTCTACTCTTATTTCCGTGGTCACCTGACTCTTTGTACGGGTCCCTCCTAGAAAGTTCTTGATGGTCTAGTCGGTTTCTCTTCTCAGTACAGGCATTCATAAGGATTCACACATTAGCCGACTTTCTGTAGAATAAGTTAATTCGTGAGAACGTTACCACTTTGGAACAAAATTCATCAATGATTTACATTGGTTAAATTTGTAATTCGTATTGAGTAGTGCGAAAGTGAAAAGTGTTAGAGAAGCGCCTCCACCTCCGAAAATACTGGCTTGTGCTCCTCTATAAAGAGCTCCAATTTTTTCTTAAATACTTCCGTTGAGCCGGTGATGTTGTGCCGATGAGTGGTGATTGCACCACCACTTTCACTCTAAAAGGATTACTTGAGAGCAGTTGTGCTATTTTGAAATGATACAGAGGTAGTCGAGTCGAAGTTGCAGAAGATGCGAAAAGCATTCGCAAAGCCCACCGACGCTTCGCCAATTACGGAACCAAAATGATTGCTCTCCGGCGCCCAGACGGAGCAGTTACAGCGTCCAGAAAGGCAATGGAGAAAATCATTCACGAATACTACTCAGATTTCTTCGATAGCCACGACCACCTTACTTCATATTGAATAAAATCCGACATAGTATTTCGTCGGTGGAAAGTCGAATAACACCAGGTTCTAACAGGGTAAGATAGAATACCTGAAGAACCTTCAATTAATCCTCATAAACACACTGGCTTGCCCTCTTAGCAGGTTGTCTGTCTTAATGAATGCTATCTACTTACTGAAAGAACGGAAAGACGGTATTATTGTTCAAGAAGGGTGAGCGACTCGAGATCGGCAACTATCGCCGAATTTGCTTACTTTCGGTCGTCTGCAAACTTTTCACTCGAGTCATCCCAAACAGGATTGACAAAACACTGGACGGAGGGCAAACATGTGAGTGCGCAGGGTTTTGAAGAGGATTTATTACGATTGATGTAATCTACACGATAAGAAGTTGCGTTAAAGTATATCGAGGATACAAAAAACCATTCTGTCTTGGTTTCGTCGATAAAAGAAGGCTTTGACCCAGTTGAGAATGAAGAAGTCGTGTAAAAGTGGACGGCCAGCGCGTTCTCGATATATAAAGAGTCTTCCTGAGCTATACAGAAATTTCACAGTCAAGACATCAGCATTCTATGACGATATCAACATCGACGTCAAAAGAGGAATTAGGCCAGGCTACACCATGTCGCCAAATTATTTACCGTCACCCTCCAGAACATCATGCGAACTTCGGAATGGGATAATATGGGAGTGAAAATCGATGGTCGGCAGTTAGATCATCTTCAGTTTGCTGATTACATCGTCCTTATAGCACCAAACATTTGCCAAACAGAATGAATGCTTGCCGACTTTGATAAGGGTTGTGAAAAACCGATATTCGACAAAATCTCACAAAACCGGTGTTTATGAAGAACGGAAAGGTTGCGCATGCCCCATTCACGCTTAGTGGAATGTATATCTACGAATGCCGCAGTTATTTCTGCCTAGGTCGGGAAAGCGACGTGATGAACGCCTTAGCTCTAGAGTTCAGCAGGTGGAAGCTAGCGATTTTTATGAGCACCGAGAAAGTAACGAAGAAGGCGAAGAACACCTCACTCTGTGCTCATCTTTTGGATTTCGCGTTCCTTCCTGCTTTAAGGTATGCGTAAGGAATGACGCTGCTATGAGCATCCCGCTTCGCGCAAGTGAGGAAAGGGATATGATGCTCCTACTTGAGTCAGTGATCGAAAACCAAAGCAGCTGTTCTTTGCTCCAAGCTGTTAAGGATGAGATCAACCGGACGCGTAATGCGTATGAAGGACAAGCAATGGGCACGAGCCGTTAGTGAGTGGATTCCTCGGGATGCCAAACGCTCTGCAGGAGGAACCATTGACCAGATGGTCAGAATTCTTAGCGAAGAATTTAGAAGAGAAATAAGATGCTCGACGAGTTTCTAGAACGAGCAGGAACCACTTGGCTATTCTTGCGTGCGACAGGGAAAAATAGAAGATTTATTGGTGCCCGCTCGAGTCATTTGACGATCAAAGAGCAGACGATGGGAATAACTGCTGATGTTAGAGGTGATGACAGTGGTGCTGGTAGTGTGCGTGCCACAACCGGAGTTCGCTGCCTTGATTTGTGATTGAATATGCTAGTTAATTCTTTGTCTACCCTACAAACAGCATTTCATCGCATGAACTGCTCGTTTATAAACCTAACGTTGAACGGTAATCGATTAGCAGACGCATTTTCTTTAGTGAAGAGTAAATTACCAGTTTTTATAAGTAGGTATTTTACCGGAGAGAAATAGAAGGCTGATTTTGGATATTACTAAAGCATTTGTTTTGTAAAACAAAAGCAGAGCCATTCAACAAAAAGGAAGTGGTCGTGAGGATTACTAGAACTCATTAACGCTTGCTTAACAGATCGTTCCGCCTGCTTTCTTGCGGACATCTCATACTGATGGTCATTGGTCTGGACCTATTCAAGTGAAGTATTTTTAAGGCTCAGAATTTTAAACCATTAAATGCTTTATGTATTGGTATTATAAAAACCTTCGCCTAGACACTTTTTGGACTTTTGATTTTCATATGGCGCAGTTTGCTGAATTTAGATAATTGCTATTTTTTGTAAACACCTAGCTTAACAACGCAAAAAAGTTAGACGGTTAACTGCTGCTTTTGGTGGTGGCGGTGGCGCTCTTGAAGAAGTGCATTTAACTTCTGGCATCCATGAACTTTTATATGCATTTGTATGTAAAACCAACTTTGCTCACCTGTGATAGGAACAGAATTCAAACAGTAGCCATTGATACACCTTGCAATTTGCTGTGTGTTTATTCAATTCGTAACGTATAGCCTTTTCGGGACAAAAAATTCCTTCAACGAAGGACAATTTAGAGCGGATGACGTCAACCATACAGACACAATTTTCAAACCGACCGTCATTTAACCTCGGTAGTGAAATAATCAATGTGTCTTTAAATTGTTGAGCTTACACAAAGTTTATAAATAGATTTATTCGGCTAACGTTTCGGCTGTTTCGACTTCACCAGAGCAGGTGAGCCGCGTCGGTGGTCCACAGTTGTTCGTTATCTCGAGGTGGCGTCTTCGTTGTCGTGCTGAGACGAGGTCTTCTTCAGTGAACACCGCACGAATAAAGCATATATTATCAGCGGATAGTCTTATCAACAGCAGCGGTCCTGTATGAAAGGACATTATTGCTGGTATGCTTGCCTGGTTCGTGATCAGGTTAGTCAGGTAAAGATTCGTCTACATCAACCATTTATGCCGCCCAGTAAGGGTCTCGTGCTCAATGGACACCATTAGAAGGCAAATTTACATAGACTGATGGTAGTCTGTTGAATCTGATTCACTTTGTTGAACATGGAGCTGGGACTCTATTGGGCATAAGTATATTGCTCTGTAACAATTGTCTTATTGACACAAGTTACCGTAAAGATTTTAACAACAACGTAAAAAGCATTTCTCTCAACAGTTTACCACCTCATCGTGGTTAGGATGTCTCCCTGGGTGTGGGAGTCTTTGGCCAGGCTGTCCAAGGGATTCCAGGAAATCACAATGGCTTAACCAGGAAATCTCCGAAAAATGGAGATTATGACAGATCCCGCACAACCAGTGAGGCTGGCTGTTCAAGTATCAAGTAAGTAAGTAGGATGCGTTGACCATGTCTTTCATTCTTCGACTTCGACGGAGGTTTTCAGCTACCGAATAGTTCGGCAAAAACAAACGTTGCTGCAGAGAAGGCTTCAGAAGGGTAAAGCCGCAGATGAATTAATACGGAAGTATTTCTTTTACAGATAAACTAACAAAAAGTTGATAAGAAAGCTTATGTCGCTAACGACGTTTTTCGCCTTTTTCAAGGCCGACGATCCGAGTCGGTGGTTAACAACAATCGAGCAGCAGAATGCGTCGGTAAGGCCGTCACGTTCAAGTTGAACACCAGATGATCCTACTCACTGTGTAAAATATGCATGGAATACTCACTTGCGTTCCTCCGCCTTTTTTTTTTGAAAAGCACAGAGTCAGTTGAATTATTTAATAAAATTACTTACGTCGTTGCTGGGCACGCTTACTGCGTATCACAACTAGCGCTTTTGTAAAGTCTTTACATCATTGATAGAAACACAAAGACGACAGTGGAATACGTTTTTGTAAAGGAGAATGACTGTGAAGACGAAACAGTTCGCATATTTGCCAAAAACTTTATTCATTAGTCTATAGTCTATAATCAGCCTTCTAATGAAACAAACGTAAACCTGTGGGCAAATTTTCGGTCGAGAATGAAAGTTGTATTACATGATTAAGTAAACACATTGGCATGAACACTTTTTGGTTACGCTGGCCTTGTCAAACGGTACCCTATAGTATGCTAGGAAGAATAAGGTTTCCGCCTATAAAAGATGAGTGGAGAAAAATACTCAGTTTATGATGAAAGCAATGAAAGTAACGACTGCTAGTAGGGGATCACTGGAGAGCAGGTGCCTCGTTGTTTAGCTCGGAAGGACATATGTTTGCTTTGATATATTCAGTTCGGTTCTCGTAGTAATTTCTGAATGTCTTTCTCCATATCTGATTGCGTAGTCCTGGCATAATCCTTTGTTGCCAATTTCACCTCATAAATGCATGTCGGAATTTTGTAGTGCAGTAGTTATGGCTTTCCTTAATAGCACACTAGGTCGGTCGCCGGTTCTATACCGTGACGCAATTTCAACAAGCATTTTATCGTTTTGGTGCGGCAAATTTCTAACAGACTTCTCTTGAGAGGTGGCAACACCCAGTTGATACATCGGCTGGCCACTGCATATAGAGGTTACGTATGTATCCAATCAACTCTAAAGACGCTAAACGAGTTCGAATGCATGACGCATGCTTCGGCAACTGATCAACTGCCATAGATATTGAAGTGATTAATTGCCTTTTTCTCAGAATTTGTCGCCAAAAAATTGTTACTTAACAAAATTGCCAGCAAGAACTCGATCGTACCAGGTGCAGGAAATTAATGAACAACCTTACTGTAAAGAAGGGCACAGCCAAATGATGTTAGCAATCCAAGAAATGCTTCCTCCACTGGATTTGACTCGACGCAACAATGAACGTCTACATCGCAAGGACGTCCACCTGTGGACCACTGACATGGACCTGTCCGGCCTGAAAAAGCAGACGACGTCGGAAAGTAAGCCGAACATTTCTCCAAAACCAACTTCTGGTTAGGTAAATAATTGTGGAAGCTTTTGGTTAATTTTTTGTCGAGCTTAAACGAAATCCGGTTTTAAACGACGTTTTATGTCTATTGTATAAACGGTATTGTATAAATGAATCACCCGGCGGAAAGGAGGGAAAAAACTGAAAAAGGGAAAAAAGGCAGAAGAATGAAAGGAGCTTATTTCAAGCATTTTCAGCATGATTTTTTATTTCGTGCTGTGCTCGATAGAAATGGAGACCACAGCATATGGACGTAAAGGTTCAGTGATCGGATTTGATCAAGTGATTGTATTTGACGCAACAATGGCCGCCTTCACTCTCCACTACGGTTCCAATAATTTTCTTTCCTAAATAACAATGTCTCAGTGCTGTAGCCTGACGTAAAAAGAAATTTTTATCGCTTTCAGGAAACGCAGACACACGTATTACAAAGTTCTGTGCGTTGTATTCTTGCTTTACCATGAGCCAGCTCAAGTGAACCAATAGCAGTTGAGACTGTGATTCCAACCGAAACGAATTCGAGCGGGGAACGGTTGCTACAAAATGGCTGTTATCGCATGCTTTTCGTTTCGATATGAAGAATTCATTGCATTCTGACAAACAACCCATCTGCTATTCATATCTTCCAGCTATCATAGATTTTGAAGCACGTGCTATTCTCCATGTGCCCAACATCTAAGAAGAAAAATTGAACAATGAACGTGGAAGACTTTACCATCGTTTTATCGAAATGAATTGTCAGATCACCCACTATAAATCCTCAGCAAAAAAATCACGTCTAAAAGTTGTAACTGTTTTTAAGACAATGTGCTTGCAACGAGTAAAAACTGGCATATTATCGATATGTGCTACATATATGGATCGTAGGGCACATGAAGCGCAGGGGTTGTAGGCGCCCTTCGACACACACCTGGGATCGATCCCAGCGCCCGTGACTCACCAACCTCCCATCCTTCTGGCGTCAGCAAATTGGTACCAGAGTTGTCTGGGAGGATAGCAGCACTGGCTCGATACACCGGTAGGCCACCGCGAATCACCGTTAAGGCCAGGTATGCATTCAATCACCTCCAATGATGCTTAGTAAAGTCGAATGCCTGGTGCTTTCCCCAGAGATTGATCAACGCCGAAAGCTCTATTCTTTTATCCTTTCATATGGAGCGTCACTAAATGTAAATTCTGGATGAAGGATATTTAAACGAAAACGATGAAGATTATTACTGATCTCCGTTAGAACATCACACATATTGGTCATCGCCCAAAACGGAGTGGAAAAAATGGATAAAAGCAGAAAATAAAACACCGCGCGAGAATATATTTTTGACAAATGAAGCCGTTGAGCTCAGAAGATCACTAATGGAAGGTTCGAATTCAAATTGACAATTGGTTTTCGCTCAGCGTTGTGGTTATATAAATCTATGTTCCTAACACATTCCAAAGCGAAAAACACTCCGAGGTATAGATAAATGGATGCTTGATGGTCTACAACTGAGCTAGCCCACTGCAGCTTTGTGTATACTCACAGAACGATCAAGTCACAGAAAAACTGCGACGGAATCGACGAAATGAATCGATAGCAAATTGCAGCGTATTTATTCAGATTGGGTCAACAAGGAAGCGAAAATGATTGAAGAAAAGATTTTAAATTCCGTCCACGATACCAAAATCCATGTTTATTTACACATGCTCTTTTCAACAATGATGATGTTATAAAATAGATAAACACATTTCTGCTCTTTCCGACCAGGAGTAGCTTAGTCATCTAGGATTCCACTACTTCCGCTATAGCCCGAATCAAGGAGGCTTTCGAAGCTGTTTGTCGAGGCAGCAGAAAGTTCTTGAGCTGTGATTACTTCTGACCATCTCTGAGGGATAAGGTGTAATTGTCGGTGTTGGTGAAATGAGAAAATAAAAATTCAAT